ATTTTATCTAATTCGTGATGTTTTCTTTGTATTTCATGTTTTTGTGTTTTCTTTATGTTTGGGATCTTAACTCTATCGCTATTCCTCCTCCCATTCTGCTGTCTCACTCTCTGGGATCCTCCTTCACTCGCACTGACCTCTTTTTCTGTTTCGTGCTGCGCTTCCCTCCTAATCCGTCGCCGCTTCTTGGACTTAACTTGTCCGTCTCTTTTGTGTCCTCCTCACTCTGCGCTTCCGATTCTCCGTTTTTTCCAATTTCCTTCTTCTGGGTCCATTTCGTCTGCCACTAGAAACTGTTTTCTTCACTCTTTGCTTCCTTTCTATACGGCCACCAACGCTCCTAATCCACCTTGCAGGCCGACTTCCTCTCCACCAATTTTAAAGGGATTAGTCCTTTGTCCTCCCGGGCGATAGCGTGTCGCCCAGGGGCTTAGGAACTTCCCCTTTTATTTCCCGATCTCTATGGGATCAAGAATGCCCTATCAGGGCTCCTGATACAAAGTTTTTGGGTTTTGGATACAGTGTTCTAAACTCTTGGTTAAATTTCTTTCCAAAGACTATGTTTTGCCACAATACAAGCCACACATAAATTTGAGGTTATGTCTGTTTGCTCTGCCACTGTCTTCCCACAAAGCTTTCCTATCAAAGCTTTACCCTCCAAAATAGAAACTATAGCTTCTTCTCAGTATGATGTAAATGTGGCTGATGTCAGAAGTGTAATGTAGAATAACAGAGTGTTAACTTCAAATCAGTCATTCTTTTTTTAAACTTTCATTGTCAATAACTGTATGATCTGATATTGAATTAATTATTCAAGGTGATGGTATGTATAGAGATTTGGGGTGGTGATTCTAGGATGTTCCAGAGTTCAGCATAAAACTCAAAACATAAGCTCCTTTTTAAGGAAGTTTCCATTATTAGGTTCCTACAAGTGATCTAAAATGTCACATAGTCCTCGGTTTTTGATAAGAGATATTCTTACAATAGCAGTGACACTTTTTCAGAATATTTTGTCAATCAAGATTCTTATGTAATTTTCTTTCGGTGCTGATCATATATGGTGGCCTTTAACTTAGATTCCTTCAGGCTCCTTTTTTCTGTGGAATGTTGTTTGGTGATTTACTCCTTTTGAATTGTCATGACCTGCCAGATCTCTGCACCAATGTGGTTTCCATTTTCCACAAGGAAATTCCTAGATCTGATTAGATGCAAGCATAATGTATTGTATATCAATCTGTATATTACCAATTTTGGAATGAGACCAAGTAAAATTCTACTGTACTGAAATTTTGAATTAAATGGCAGCTATGGTTCTTATATGCACATCAGCCAACTTAAAGGCAGCTGTTGACCTACAGTATAGTATATGAGATGCGGTGGCTCAGTGGTTAAGATGCTAAGCTTGTCGATGGAAAGGTCGGCAGTTCAGCGGTTCGAATCCCTAGTGCTGCGTAATGGGGTGAGCTCCCATTACTTGTCCCAGCTTCTGCAACCTAACAGTTTGAAAGCATGTAAAAAAATAGGGCCCACCTTTGATGGGAAGATAACAGCGTTCCATGTGCCTTCGGTGTTTAGTCATGCTGGCCATATGACCACGGAGACATCTTCGGACAGCGCTGGCTCTTTGGCTTTGAAACGGAGATGAGCACCGCCCCCTAAAGTCAGGAACAACTAGCACATATGTGTGAGGGGAACCTTTACTTTTACCTTATACTTTATGAACTTGCTAGAGCAAAAGAGCCAGTATTTCTAATGTGAAACCCAGGGTCAGATGGCTCTCTATAAGCAGTAATTCTCAACAAATAAATGGCAAGATTAAGGAGATAGTGAAGATATCTACATCCAGAATGAAAGTATAAAAATCCTTTTTATAAGTGGCTAAAATGAGGTCTGCATTTTTCAATAAATCTGCTTAAATTATTCTCCATGTTTTTTTCCTTAACTTACAATAACCATTCCCCCCCCCCTCTCTCAGCATCCACGCTGATAAAGTTATTGTTTCCTTGGCTTCTGAAATCCTAAGGAAACTTTATTATTAGCAGCTTGCATCTATATTTCCTTTGGACTTTTAAATAAAATTTATTTTCTTGTTTCATTTATTTCTCATTTACATTCTAAAAACAAGGTGGTAATGCTAACTGGAATTATACAGCCCACATGCTGCCTTTCATATGTATGCTTTGGATTTGTTATTCCAATTCCTTGGAAGGAACACGAAACAAGAAATTCCATAAACAGAAGGCTGAATTCTCCCTAGTTTAATAGGAAATAGTTACAATGCAGCTTGCGGACAACAGTCTTCATTTCTCTGCAGTATTTACTGTTAGCTGAATGGCTTTTTCTAAGCACATGCATCCTGTATTTAAATACTAAAACCAATATTTAAAATGTGAAGCATAAATAATCACAATTTCAGTAACAGCATGCTGAACAGTTGGACATAAACTTTTTATATGGTATCTAGGCTCAATATTACCTAATCTTTTTCTCATGCAAGGCCTTTTAATTTGAATTTGGTTTTACATTAAGCATTAGAGGTGTACCTAAATAAAGATTTGACAATTTCCATTAAAATTGTAAAAATGGACTTCCAAAGGGTATGGCTTCTTTATTAGGAAATCTAAATCCTGTACCATTTCAATTTAGACTACCACTACATTTGCTCTGATTATAGCTTGGGCAATTTAGGTACAATGGCAGAAAACCAGAAGCAGTTACTGAAACCTGATTAAGAGCTCTATGTTTGAGCCTACACATAGCAATCAAAGCAGCAACATGTCATTTCTCTGCACTTATGATGTTCAGCTTCCTGGCAACCCTCTTCAGAGTAAAGATAACAGGACACAACCAATCCCTGCATGCATACCAGATGAATTGACAGGTTCCTTAACAGATCAAGCCATCTGTTTCATTCTGGATTGTATGTTTCACTGTAGTTAACTAGTATTTGTATTTGGATTCTTTTCTCCCAGTAGCATCTGAAATGGATTAAGGTCCTGTTGTTTGAATGCCGCCACTTGTGTACTTGATCAGTGGTTTCTGTGGATGGTCAAAGGTAGCTGTGGGAAGTAGTTAATGTATGTCTGAAAAAATATGTAATACTTTTGTTTAAGGAGACAGTAGTATACCATGAATCTGAATTCCCACTCCAAAAAAATTAGTTATTGTTGCTTTTCCAATTTCCATTTCCCTATAAAGCTAGGTGAGAAGATGGTTGCAAATCAACTACAGAAGACCACAAATATCATGGATTATCTCAGGCATTTTCAGTCAGGATTTAAAGTTGATTATGAAATGGAAATTGATCTTGCTAGTTCATAACCTCATTTGGGATCTTCCTTGAAAAAAAGGAATAAAAAAAATCTGTCTTAATCAGCAGGTAGAAGTTATGATCAAAAAAGCCTTTTGTCATGCCTGGAAGCCATATTACCTATGTGCCTTGAGGATCCAGGCCTGCCACAATCATACCATGGGAAGTTGGAAGGGAGGATTGCATGAGTGAAATAGAGATAGGCATAACAAACTTCTCTAAGAGAAGTTCAAGGCCATGGTGTCCGGCAGCTGTGCAAAGAAGAAATTGGAGGATGTCTTCTGTTCGGGAAAGAACTGATTGCAGCTGTGTGGACATGTGGGAGATGTGGGCAAGGTCTTGAACTTCCTTGTGGATGAGGAAAACCCAGAAGCTTTCAGATTCAGGTTTTCCCAGATGTGCCAATATGACATCCCTAATAAAAGTTAGCTTTGAGGAACTTCAAGTTTCAGAGTTTGATTTTGTTGGGGGTGTTACTTGGAACCCTGACATTAACCAAAATCTCCTTTAAAATTAGAGCAGATTTCTCAACCCTGGGGAGCTGTTCGAGGTCCTGAGCTCCACGCACCAACCCAACCCAGGGTGACGCGAAGATTCAGGGAAGATGGAGGAGGAAAAGAAGCCTATGGAGGGAGCAGCAGGCATGGGCTCAGCAACAGTTCCTGAGACTCTCTATTCTCCTTCCCCTGGGATGGTGGAAGCGATAAAGGCTGCGGAGGCTGCCCACCAACTGGGTGTCCGGCCTAAGGAGTAACTGCCGAAGTGAAGCTTGCAGCAGGACCTGGCAGTGCAAGGCGAAGCCAGCGGAGCCACCCTGCTTCAAGGAGCAATGTGGGAACCACGATGAGAGTTATCGCAGCCGCCGCACCACAGGCACTCTGAAGAATGGGGACTCCCGCCGCCGTCATGCAGCCAATCCCTAGCTGGTTTACCGGAGTAGTTAAGCCGACTCAGAGTAAATGGGATGCCCAGCATGCCAGCACAGGGCTGCCAGAGTGGACCTTGGCACAACCAATGTTCACCTTCCTTAGCCAGGGACCAGTAGCACAAAGGGCTGAAGCGGCAACAACTTTTCATTCAGCCTGAAGCTGCTCAGCCCCCGGCCTGTCGCTTCGGGTAAGCCCAGCTGTGGATTCCCGCCGCTCAGGACTGCACCCCCTGCCAGCCAGCCAGGCTGGCCATGGAGTTCCCGTCCAGCCGCAAGGGGCTTGGAGCTTGCCAGCCCCGCAACTGCCACCCGGGATGGGGTTCCCACCTGCAAGCCAAATCCCTTCCAGATGGGCTTACTACCCAGGCCAGGGGTCGGTACAGTGTCAATGGACGCCTGCCTGGATGCCGCTGCATATGCAGTTTCCTCAGCAAGTGGTCCAGCCGCAACCCCAAGCCACGATCCCACAGCAGTTGCCAGTGAACCCGCAGCAAGTCCTGGCCCAGCAGCCTGTGCCTGCTGCGGCGCTCCCTCCCCTTGCGTTGACCTTCAATGGGACCCCAGGGAAGCTGGCATACTTCCTGAACCGAGTCTGGGCCTACATCGATCAGTATGGGAACCAATACCCCTCTGATTGTGAATTGATCTCTGCCATCGCCGAAGGCATGAACGAGGGAGAAGCATTGGAATGAGGGCTGAGCTTCATGATGAGGGAACCTGGAGTTATAGGACTCGGATGATTTTTTTAAAAAGTTTTTTTATTTTTTAAGACAAACAAACATTTAATACATCAATTATCCCTCCTCTGTGATATCTCGGTGTTGACTTCTTCAGTTCTTTTTATTCTTCTTGTTCCAACAGTTTCTTCAATCTTAATCGTCATCCAAACCACTATAAAAGTTCATCCCTATAACCATATTCTTGCCATCAAATTTTTACAGAGTTATAAAATTAATAATTTATATCTCTTTTCCAACCAACAATAAAAATAATTCCATATTTTACAGTATTCTGATTCTTCCCTGTCTTTAATCAATGAAGTTAATTGGTTCATTTCTGCACAATCTAAAATCTTTTTTATCACTTCATCTTCCAAAGGTATTTTCTCTAATTTCCAATTTTGAGCTTAAACAATTCTTGCAGCTGTTATTACGTGTATAATAAAATAAATATATTCCTTTTTAATTTTGTCAAGTAGGATACCCAATAAGGACAACTCTGGTTTGAATTCAATATGTAATTGTGTCATTTCTTCCAGCCAGGTTTTAATTTTATTCCAATAATTTTTTGCTTCAGGGCATGTCCACCACATATGATAATAGGATCCTGGTAGTTTGTGACATTTCCAACATTTCGCTGATTTATCTTTAAACATTTTTGCTAACTTTTCCTGTGGCATACGCCATCTATAAAATATTTTATATTGGTTTTCCTTATATGCGGTGGACATCATTAATTTATAGTTCCTTTCCCATAGTTGTTGCCATTTTTCAAGTTCAATTGAATATCCAAAATTTCTTCCCCAAGCTATCATTGTTTCTTTTACCTGTTTCTCCTCCAATTCAATAGATAGCAAAAAAATATTACAAAATTTTATTAAATTTTTTTCCATTCCTGTGAGTATCCTATCCAACTCAGTCTTTTCCAAATAAAAACCATGTAACTTAGTGTCTTTTTCATATCTTGTTCTTATCTGCATATACATATACCAATCTGTCTCAATCCCCCGTTCTTCCAGGTCTCGTTTCTCTTTCAATTCCCCCTTATCTGTTAACAAATCCTTATATCTAACAATATTTCCAAAATTAAAAACATTTGGGTGTATTAAAGCTTCCATCGTTGATAACCATATTGGTATTTTCATAGTATTTATCTCTAACCTTCTCCCAAACCATTAGCAATGCATTTCATATATAATGTCTATGAAAGTATGTATGTATCTTATTTCTACTATACCAAAAAAAGCATGCCAACTCAGTTAGAAATCATGCCCTTCCAGTGTTAACAGCCTTATGTTTCTTAGTTCAATCCCATTCTTTCAGCCATGTCAATGTTGCTGCTTGCTAATATAATTCTCAATTTGGTAAACCAAATCCCCCTCCCAACCTGGTGTCTTGTAGCATTTTCAAATTTATTCTTGTTTTTTTCCCTTGCCATATAAATTTCCTCATTATTTTATTCAGATGATGAAAGTATGTCTTTTCAATTTTTATTGGCACCATCTGGAATATAAATAACAATCTTGGTAATATGTTCATCTTTATCTTTTTTTTTTTTTGAATAAAAGGTTTTTATTATTTTTTATAATCAAACAGATAACATTTTCACTTGTATATTTAAACATTTATAAACCCACCCTTCCACCACCCCCTTCCCACCCCCCTCCCCTGACTTCCCAGAAGAAAAACGGTATAAATTTTATCAATCATACGCTAAAATATGCTAAATTAATGCAAGACTATAATTCCCTAGATCCCTTAACTCCCCTTCTAGAGATTATTCATCAACCTCCCTTTAAACTCAAAATAACATATAATCCTTTAGACCTAAGAGTTTTTTAAAAACATTAACAAACACTAATAGATCATTCAAAGCCTAGAGTTCTCATAATACATCTGTAAGAAATTCTTAGTTCATTTTCTTAATCATTTTACTCTCCCTCCTACTTTTATTCTCAAGATTCAAATATTTTTTCTTAAACCTTAATTAATCATTAATTGAATTCTTAATTCATTTACTTAATCATTGTAATTAATCATTAATACATCAGTTATTAAACCAAAGAAAATTAATCTTCCCTTCTTCCTTTCTTTCTATATTTTTTCCAATCTTTTTTCCTCCCTCTTGCTTTTATTTTAAGGAGGTTTTGATTTTCAACTGGGGGTTGATGTATCTTTAAAACTTGCCCCTTTCTTAGAATCATTTCCTCTGATTTGGAGCCCCCATATCGACTCTTCTTGCTTATATAATCAGTCAGTCCATAGAACGAAGAGTTAACTCGATGAGTTTGCAATAAAAAGTCCAGTTGTTGCATTTCAATTAATTCTGTGAATGCCTCTGCCAAATCTTCCGAAACCTCATAAGGCTGGTCAGTTTCTTCTTCTTTTTGCTCCAAATTATATTTTTGAAGAATTCTATCAGTTAATTCCACAAGGGCAGGAAAAGAGTTTGAAGATCCTTGAGAGTCAGCCAAATCCAGCTTCTCTGTTTTAATCAAAATGTCTCCTTCATTGTCTTTGTGCTTTCCTTCAAAAACATCCTCATTTGCTTTTAAATCCTCCTCCAGCTCTATAAACTTTTGTTCTATGATTACTGTCAAGTTATTAATAATTGCCATTTGATTATTCATGGCTTCCTTTATAAGTTCTGTAAGGTCTCTGAAAAAATCCTCTTGGCTCTGTGAATCAGTTCTCTGTGTCATTTCTGACGCCATTAAAGAGCTTCCAGCACTTTGCTTGGAAACCATATTATTTTAAGAAAATTTTTCTTTTCAAAGCCAAAATATCTCTTAAGCAACTTTCTCCAATTTAATTGTAGTTTATCAAGCAAGATAGTCTTTTCTACACCCAGCTCTCAAATCCCGGCAGCTTAAGTCCAGTCTCTAAGCACAAATCTATTAACAAGCACTTAGCTTTCACTTTCAGTCCAGCCATAATAAAGACGCCATTCCTCCTTCAGCTCAGCGAAATCAAGTAGAAACATTGTATCCCAGGAGTTAAGCAACATACTTGCAAAGGCTTGTTCTCCTGCTTCCGTTCTGCCTGCTTTTGGAATCAATTAATCTCCTTGTTGACTGCAGAGTTGGTCGCCGGCATCTAGCTCTGTTTAAAACGGAGTCGCCACGGATCCGGAGCTTCAGTGGGCTGAACGGGGAGCTCTCATCCTCCAAGCCCCTGGAATTGCTCCAGGGGCTCCCGGGGAGCTCTACCCTCACCCACCGGCTCTCCTCTCCTTCTTTTCCCAAAGGAGAGGTTTTCGAGCCGTCTGACAGCTGATTAGCGCTGTCAGAACAGCTCCAACGGAATCGCGGGGCTGGCGGTCTAAAAAGACTGTCAGTGACGCCGGCGGTGCCAACGGAAGTCTCCCATGTTCATCTTTATCAATGCAATCTGTCCCATAAGTGATAGTTGGAGATTCTTCCATTTTTCCAAATCTTTTTCCATTTGTTGTTTTAATTTATAATAGTTTTCTTCCTTTATTGTTGCACATTTTGAAGTTAAATGTACTCCCAAATATTTAACTTTCTTCACAACCTGTATATCTAACGTTTCTTTTATCTCTGTTTTGTTTTTCTGTTGTATTTTTCACCAAGATTTTTGTTTTGTCTTTGTTTATTTTCAAACTAGAGACTTTTCCATATCTTTCTATCTGTTCTAATAGTTTAAGGCCTGTTATTTGCGGTTCTTCTATAATGAATACCAAACAAATAGACAAAATGATGAGATAAAAGGGATGAAAATTTAAAAAGAGGAGTATAAATTACAAGCGTTTGCAGATGATTTAGGACGCGGACGATTTTCAGCTGATTAGGTTGAGGTTCAGCAACGTCACCCAACAGGGGCCATCGAGCATCGGAATGCTTAGCTCCAGCATCCCTGCCCCGGGCGAAGTCCCCTGCTTGGGCAGGACCTAAGAAAACCCTGCGGAAACTGCCGGACAAGGGACTAAGCAAGCGGCAGAGAGCCCTGCCCAGCCTGCAGGATCAGAAAAGAGCCCGACCGGGGATTCCCCCTCCCCCTCCACAGAGGAAGACAATGGTGAGGATGACCCGATAGTGAGTGGAGCCATCCGCCCCTTTGCCCTGAAGGTTACCCTAATGGCCCCCCAGACCAGAGCCCAGGGAGGAGTGGAGGCAGTCACAGACACCGGCTACACGCGATGCCTAATTAGCCCCCACATTGTTATTATAATAATCAAGCAACTAGGCACACGCACTCACCCCTTCCGACAGCCTATCAGCTTCGAGCAGGTGGATGGCTCGCTAATTGGCAGTGCCCCTGCCACCAGACTCAGGGAGCTCATTAAGTTAGAACTGGGGTGCCACAAAGAATTCCTCCAGTTTGTAGTTGTTTCCAAGATGACAGGTCCCATAATCTTGGGGTTCTCATGGCTCGATAATTGGGGACCCATGATCTCTTGGGATGGCAGCCACAGAAAGATAGTCATTGGACTGGGCCCGTTGCCACCAGTGAGGCAAGAACTCCCCACCCCAGAGATCATGAACCCGGAAAAAGCAACCCTTCTGGAGACTGCTGCCCCGGCCCAGAACGTCCCGCCGGGCAGCCAGCAGATGCCCCGGGAGTATCGAGACTTGGAGGAGTGCTTAGCAACTTCCTTCCCCCACATCACCTGACCGACTGCACAATAGAATTCGTGCCGGGGCGAAACTTTCCAAGCCTAACATGTACTCAATGACTCCGACCAAATTGAAGGAGTTGAGAAAGTACATAGACACAAATCTAACGATTTGTAATCATAGAGCCTGCAAAATCCAAAGTGGCGGCCCCTGTGCTGTTTAAAAAGAAGGACGGGGGGGATGAGGCTCTGCGTGTATTTTCATTGGATTAATGGGGTGTGCATGGAGAACACCTACCCCTTCCCCCTCATGAAGGACTTGCTCAATCACCTGTCAAAGGGCAAAGTGTTTACCAAGCTGGACTTGAGGAAAGCCTACTACCGTATACGGATTAGGGAGGGTGATGAATGGAAAACCGCATTCAACTGCCCACTTGGCAGCTTCCAATTCAAAGTGATGCCATTTGGACTTCAGGGGGCCCCCGCAGTCTTCATGCAGTTTATTAATGAGATTCTGCATGAGCACCTATACAAGGGGGTTCTGGTCTACTTGGACGATATCCTCATATTCAGCAAAACGCTGGAAGAGCACATAAAGCTCATCCAGCAGGTGCTGAAAAAACTGCGCTCTGATAAGCTCTACGTAAAGCTGTCGAAGTGCAAGTTTCATAAGACTTCACTAGACTACTTAGGATACCGGATTTCTAGCGACAGGATAGAGATGGACACAACCAAAGTTAAAGCCGCTCAGGATTGGCAACCCCCAAGCATCTGAAAACAGCTCCAAAGCTTCCTGGGGTTCGCCAAATTCTATAGGCAATTCATTCTGGCTTTTGTGGAGGTAGCGCTGCCCCTAACCAAACTGTTAAAGACGGGGTCCCCACCAACAAAACTGAAGCCACTGGACACCGGCTGGGATGGATTGACTGCCAAATTAAAAGCATTTTTGTGCAATTTTTGTCTTTTGCCTCAATACCAAATTATGCCTTTCCAAGAATCTAGTACACCAGGATACAGTGGCCTTAAATCTGTTGCTGTGATCTGGGTTAGATTTGGCCCACTGAAGTGCAAACAAACGTATTTTATTTCGTGTCACTACATAACCATTTTGGCGATGCTCATTCACCATGTCTGCTACATGTTTTTCGAGTTCTGGCCAATGTGGGGTGCCTCTTCTTAATGCACACTTACCCCTTGGCATACTCTTTAATGCTTTTACATTTGCTTTCCAGTCCCGAACCATCTTTTCTGTTACTCCATATTGTCTTGCAGCAGCAGTTATTATGTTCCATGGCAAAGTTTACAACTTTAAGTTTAAAACTGGCTTCATATTTCCTTCTTCTTGCTGGTGGAGCCATGATGGGGTCTTGACTGTTAGCTATTTGTATACTGTACTGTATGTATTGTTGCTGTACTGTAGAGATACCTATGAGCGAGGCTGCACATCTGCCTGTCAAGGTAATGGGCTACGCTACGTGTAGTGGCAAGAGGGCTATTTTGTACCAGGTTTTTTTTCCTTCACCCATGCAGCCTTGACGAGATCGGCACAGCTTCATGAATCTGAGTTGCTGGGGCTGACCGCTGACGCTATGGAAGCGCTGACAACATTGACAGGAAGCTGTGGCGATCTAGTCAAGGCTGCATGCTGCTGAATGCTGGACCCAGCTGGTTGCTGCGCGGAGCTTCCCCCAGGCATCCAGCGGGATATTACTGATGCTCCGACTTCCCCAGACAGGTGGGGCTCGCCATCACTGGGGGTCAGCTGGGGAAGTCAGAGCGTCGGTAATATCCCCCTGGATGCCTGGGACGGCGGGGGAAGCTCCGCGTAGCAACCAGCTGGTTCCAGCATTCAGCGGCATGCAGCCTTGACGAGATTGGCACAGCTTCCCCTCAATGTTGTCAGAGCTCCCGTAGCATCATCGGTCAG